CGGGCGGCCAGGAGGGCAGGACCACCTCCGGGCGCGGGCGCGGTGCCTCTCCTTTCTGCAAACCCGGCAAGTTCTGCCTCGGCCGCCCTGCGTCTCCCGGTTGCCCTTGGCGGCCCTCCGCCCGACGCAGCCCCTCGCGCTCCGCTGGCTGGCTTGCCTGCCTTCTCCCCGGCTTCCCTTTCCTCCCCATAAGGTACCTGCCGAACAGCGCAGAGCGAGCGGCCGACCACCCGGTTGAGGCAACGAGCCCGGGCCAAAGAAAGTAACAGCATTTCGACAACGGCGGCAAGACGAGCCCCAGGGCGCACACCGGAACCAGGCCCGGCGCTGGCCGGATACTGGCTAGGCGCCACCAACTAGGGTTCCAGGGTGGGGAACGTCAAAATGGACTGGACCAATTGTAGCTCAACGGAGCACAAAGGAACGACGGGCAGACGGTGGACGGACGGGAATGGGTGAAATTACCCCGTCCTGAGGACCATAGACTTACTTGCAAATTGTAGAGGGGAACTTTACATGCAACTTCCGAGGTGGCACAGAACATTGGGTTTAGCAGTCGAACTGATAGCTGCCCAGAGAAGGCAATGGAGAAAGCTATTATTTCAGTCTGCCATGACTGAAAAGAGGTACTGTATTCTCTGAGGTGCGGAAAGCTAAATTTTGGCACCGTAAGGGCTAGAATCCCACAATGAGTCAGGGAGCGTCCCAGAATCCGACTTTCTTTGGGATTCTGGGCGATGTAGTCCTCCTTGACAGAGCCTGGACTCAATGATCCCTAGAGTCCCTTCCAGCTTTGCAATTCGAACATCATCATCATCACCATCATCATTATTAAACCATAATTTTTCTCATTTCTCTATATTCTCCTACAACCTATGCAAAATACAAGTGTTTATCATGTTTCTAATATTGATCTTATTTGAGATATATCTCTGTTGTGTGCTGTCGAATTACATCTGTTTTATGGCGACCCTCGTAGAGTTTTCAAAATATGTATGATTTTTTTTAAAAAGCGGTTTTTACCAGTTCAGCTCTCCCATGTGTTTCCATGGCCCATCAGGGACTGGACCCAGGTCTCCTAAGCTGTAGTCAGTCACTCAATTTACTACATTACACTCTCAGTCAATCTGAACATGTACTGTATGTGTGTGTGTACACACACACACACACACACACACACACACACACACACACACACACACACACACAAATACAGTACATGTACAGATTGACTGAGAGTGTAATGTAGTAAATTGAGTGACTGACTACAGCTTAGGAGACCTGTATACAGACTGTATATATATCAAAAGGCAAAATCATCAAAGCAAAATACATGGTTAACTGAGCTATAGTGGGAAGATTTGCAAGGATAAGTACTGTGTATCTATAGCTTGTAGGTAGGATTGCCCGGTCAGTAGCATCTCATTTTCTGAGATTTAGCTTCAAAACCGGAGACCAAAAGATGACCCCTTTAAGATCACAGATTAGGGAACTGCTAATGGGCCAGTGGATTGTAGAAAGTGACACAAGAGGAATATGGGTAAACCAGCCCAGAATCCAGGTAAAGCCAGGCTGATTGGTAACTCAGAGCCAAGAGAGTTGACAAGCTTTTTTCCTTGGGGCCTGTGCAATAGCTGCCAGGAGAAAGCTCACAAGTTCCAGTGGTCTGCTCTGCTCTCTGGCTTCCTAATACAGCACAATGTGCCCAGGGGCATGGAATCATGGGCTTTCTGCCCAATCTCTTGATTATTGGTGCGATTATATTGCTGGTGCACAACACATATGCAAATGCCTTCACAATGAATCAGGGAGGCTTGGTGCCAAGTGGGAAGGCTGGAGGTGAATGCTGAGAGTTTAAAACCAAACTTTCTCCTTCTCGCTGAGATTGTCTCCCTACCAATATGGAGAAACAGGGCAGTATGGAGAAACAGGGTATTTTCGCACCTAGGCACTGTAACATCCTTAATACGAGGCAACATTGAACATCTAATATGTAATATGCATTCTTCAGGTGGAAGCAGGGTGTAATAGACAAAAGCTTTTGCACATTTGCCTTTTATATGCTACAAGGCTGGTTTGTTTCTGCTACAAGGAGGTGAATGCTGAGAGTTTAAAACCAAACCTTCTCCTCCTCCCTCAAATTGTCTCTCTACAATATGGAGAAACAGGGCAGTTTTTTGAGACTTCAGCTGGTATTCCCGCACCTAGGCACTGTAACATCCTTAATATGAAGCAACATTGAACATCTAATACGTAATATGCATTCTTCAGGTGCAAGTAGGGCGCAATAGACAAAAGCTTTTGCCTTTTATATGCTACAAAGCTGGTTTGTTTCTGCTACAACAAACTACAGACTAATACGTATGACTACCTCTCAGGAAAGATCAGCGTACTGATGACACTTTGCTGTAAGTATCATGATGACAACTCTTCATTTATAGATGCTAAACAGCACCATGAATAAAGTTGTATCTGGTGGACGTATGACTACCTCTCAGGAAAGATCAGCATACAGATGGCACTTCGCTCTAAGTATCATGATGACAACTCTTCATTTATAGATGCTAAACAGCACCATGAATAAAGTTGTATCTGGTGGCATCTGGTGGCACAGTTGAGAAATAAACTCTGGAGATGGTCCTGTATGAGAGGGGGAGAACCATTGAAGTGCAGTGCCTGCACCACTTTGTCAAGACGTGAAATTATACACGCCCAGTTTATTAAAATAATTAAGGAGAGTATAGAAAATGCAATCCTGAAAAAGGGTGACCATGGCCAATTCAGTCCCAAATCCAGATCTAACTGTAAACTGAAGAGGATTTAGATAATGTATAGCCTCCCAAAATACAGTATTTAGTTGCAGCACTCTGACTTTCTTCAAAACCTTCTCCCCAGGAAGGAAGGAATACGTATTTGCAGCTGGGCAGTAGTTATTGAGAGCTGCCAAATCCATCCCAAGATCATGACCTGTAGAATGGACCGTTTCTGTGTACCCAAAAGGGGAGGATCTTTGGAAGAAGGGAGGCAGACTGCTACCAAGCAATTGACCAATGATGCCTACAGAAGGGGAGTGGGCTCAGCACCCTTGTTATGAGACCATCTGTCCCAGCCTGCAGAACCCGACCCGGAACCTGACTGATTGCGAACGCTTTGGGGTGAACCTCCGTTGGCTGTCTTTCTTAACACCTGAGTTTAAGGATGGTTGGAATAAAAAGGACATATTAGGTGGACCCTTTGGTCCTATAGAAGTTGTTGTTCATGGTTCTCTGTTGTCAGTTAATAAAAAGTGTATGTGCCTTGAAGAGTTGTCAACACTTTTTGGGGAATGAAAGGGAGGATGGAGGGAGCCCAAGCTTGAACCCACTTACAGTGGCAGAACACTACAGCAATCCATCAACCTAGCATAGACATTCTGTTATATCTGAAATTATTCTGTGTTGCATTTTTTAATTGTGAGAAGAGGATAATAGAGGAGGATTTCTCAGCTGTCCTTTCTACTGTCACAACCCACTGCATATTTCACAGAATTGTCATCACAAAGAATGCCACCCACAGCTGTATTTGAGGGTGAACCACAAGGACTGCAGAACAGGATAATCAGAAGCACTCCAAGTTGCACCAAATAAACTGCAGTTCTAGTGCTGTATCAAAAACAAGCAGAATTATTTGCAAAATGGATGGGATGGGTCAGTTTTACTTGAAACACACATGGTCACATAGGGCAAAACAAACTATGCAAAAACAAATCAAATAGTGAGCTATATGTTCATCTGATCGCCCTCTGGGTTTCTTTAGTTGTGCCTGCACCATTGCTTTTTAAGGGCAATAGGCGCTACTTCTTCTTGTAAATAAATGCTTGTTGCCCACTACTCCACATGGCCATACTACTTTGTCTGACTTTAATCAGCCACAAGTGGCGAGGATTGTGAAATCATGTGGTTGGGCACCTTCCTCCATAATTTTGTCCATGTCATCAAGCTACATGAAGTCGGAGCCTCATGAAACATTGATTAAACTACAGTACTGCAGTCAAGACTGTGCTTACAACCTGAGTTCAATCCAAATGGGTTCATGTAGCTGGCTCAAGGTTGACTCGGCCTTCCATCCTTCCCTGTAAATTGAGTGCCTAGCTTGCACAGGGGTGGGGCAATGCATAGCCTGCATAATTAAATTGTAAATTGTCAAGAGAGTGCTTTAAGCACTGGTTTACATCAACTGAAACTGATCCCAGGCAACTGATTGAGGTGGGCCTGCCACAATAACAGTGTCAAAAGGCACCATGAACCCCAAAGATTTTATCTCCAAAGGATCAAGGCCTCCATTCATCAGATAGCAGTAATCTTCAGGACACTTGGAGGAGCTCAACTGGATGACTGCTTGAGCAGCCATGGACAGGAAGGCTACTTGGGCCAAGAGGTTAAGACTTTTTACTGCCTCTCTGGGTTTGGGGTTTGGCCCCGAGACACAACTTTTGGGGTATATTCTCTGGATCTCAGGCTTTGGACCTAAAATCCTATGGAATGGAATACTGACACCCTGGCAATCCTAGATACAGGGGTTAATTCTGGTGGCTTTAGGGCATGCCATTAGACATGCTCAGAAAGAATGTCCCCCCCCCCCACTATCTTGTGTGTTCTGGAGCTGCTGCCGCCGGAATTCACACACTGACCTCTAAATTAATTATATATTCTCAGTCTAATGTCTGTCTGTCACACAGACATACACGCAAACATGCACCATTTTGCAATTCTTGATGAAAAGTCAGACTCTTATGATGTCACAAGGGTGTGCTGTGAGATTTTAAGCTTGGGCCCTGAAACTTCAAGGAACAAGGTGATTCAGATCTAGCAACACTATACGAACATATATTCTAACATGTGTTTTGTCCACTTAGCAGCATGTAAACAGCAATTGTGCTGTTTTCACTCCAGGTATCATCAAGCTTGTTTTCTGTTTATACCTCCCTGAAGTAGCAGAGGGCCAGAGAGGTGCCACAATACCAGAGAGGTCACTCAGGATTTATTGTATCAATCACAAGAGAGGTCACTCAGGATTTATTGTATCAACAACCTGTCATACCTCACCACTTTATAGTGAGACTAGGGCTGTGACATGCCATCAGCTCTTTTAGAACATTCAGGAATTCACCAGCCTCTGGGAGAGGACTATTCAAATGGTGTCTCTGCCCACACAGAGGGAATTTACTATCATGAATCTGAACCTCGCCAAGAACTGTTGTGATCACGACAATGAGGTTGTTTGGCCCTCCCTTTTCAGCCCATCGCAACTTGGAGCAAAGATTGATATGGCCTGCTCTGGGAATTGCAGCAATAATGACAACTTGAGAGAGCAACACAATTGCCCTGAAAGCCATGACATCCTATAACGAGTCACTCAAGGTGGCTTTGGCAGACACGCTGGAGTCCCCCAGGACCACTGGCCTGAGACTGCCCTAGTTAGCTCGGTTAAGGTTACTGCTGGTAGCAGTATAAGTAGCACACCAGCAGCACCCTATTTTTGCCTCTGAGTTACAGGAATTTGGGTTACAGCCTGAGGAGCAGCAAAGGTTACTTTTTTATTTATTGTGCTGGCCCTATTTCCTTCCAATGCAGTTCAGTCTTGGTCTGAGATAATCCTTCCCACAATATAGCAAAAAAGCTTCAGATAGATAGACAGACAACAAGCAGAGATTGATTGCCGTGAACAAGGCTAGACTTCAAAGAGAGTTAGAAGTAGTTTTAAAAAAGAATATTTGCTTGTAGGATATATGCTTATTCCATATTTACATCTGGTGAACAGCTTTCACAAGGTCTTCGCACTTTTAAAAATGTGATACTTGTTTCACCAGAATCAACAATGGCAAAAAGCAAATACTGTATATTGTTTGCTTGCCTCAAAGTGCTTTCATCTCTTTTCAGAACGATTGTGTCTCTGACTCTTCCTATGGCTTGGGAAACATGAATCTCCAAGGGGAGATTTCACTAACTAGATCTGACTTCCGCATCTCTTTTTTTTTTTGCATATTTGTTACCGCCTCAAGATGGTTGGCTGCTCTTGGCCAACCCCCTAGAGCCCTGCTGGTGTCTGTGGTACATTGATTTGAGGGTTCTTGAATGACACAAGATTCAGTGCTTTCTTCTTGTGCAATGGTAGTCTCCAAGTGATTTGAGAGAAGAGAGTAGCAGTTTGTGCGCCTGTAGTAACCAAGGTGAGTGTTCTATTTCCTGGACTGCAAAAGAAGAATCCTAATAGGGTCATTCCTTGGTGATCTCTCTATGGGGAGAGTTTGTATAGATATGTGCATGTGGTATTGGTGAAATATTCTTTGAAAATTAATTAAGAAAGCTATAGAAGCACCCGACTATCTCTTGCTAATATTTGTTTAACAGATGCTGTTCCTCTAATGCCTCTAATTATCTTTCTAATATGTTTCCAGTTCCATTGTGGAGATATGCAAAAGCAGCTTCAGTCATGTGGGTGGCATCTGATTATTTGGGATATCTGAGAAGAGTTACGAGAGTATTATAAATCAGTTACCTATTGTGTCTCTTGCAGGAACTTTGAGACTGTGTAAGAATTATGCTGGAAAATTCTAAGGGTAACTTTTGGCGGAACCCTTGGAGGGGAGGATGATTTGAAGGGCACATCTCCTTGTTTTGGTATTTGAGGGAAAATATCTCACTGCTGAGTGGTTTAAATGAGCCTTCCCCAATCTAGTGCCTTTAAGTTATGTTGGACTCAAACTCCTGAGCCAGTATTCCAAGGCAACAGGGTCACAGAATCACAGAATAATAGAGACAGAAGGGGCTTATAAGGCCATCAAGTCCAACCCCCTGCTCAAGGCAGGAATACAAATCAAAGCAGAGCTGACCAATAATTGTCCAATTTTCTCTTTACTGAAAGACAGGATTAAAATAATATAAAATATTACTGGTTTTGAAAATTTGCCCTCAGCTTGGAATAGCAGAGAACTGAGTATCTCCACACCCTATGCTTCACCCTTGCTGAACTGATGATGCACAAATCAGGCAATGAGATTTTAAGCCAAAGAAACTGTTCAGCTGACTGACTCTCTTCCTTGCGAATATATATGGAGCAAAAACTGGGAAGTTGGGATGAATTGATTGCATAGTGACATTTTGGAGCATATTAATTTGCAGAATGTCATGGCAGATCAGTACAATGTGTCAATGATGTGTCATTATAACAATAGGCTTGACAAAAGCACATTAAGCCACTCTGAACGGCTCTACAAGTGTTCGCTTACTTCCAGCTCATTGTTACTTAACATATCGACCAATCACAGAGGTCAAAGTCTGGACCAAACTGCTGAAGTTATTTATGGCTAAAGATTAAATTGGTTCATTCTGCCTATCTTTGCATAAATTATGACTGAAAGGGAAGGGAAGGCAGATTTCTGGACGATGTAAATCTTTAAAAGGAGAAGAGGAATTGATGAGGCGTGAGCAACGCATAGCTCATAAAATATAAAAAACGAACAAAGCCCACTGATTTTCAGAAACCTTTCCTGAAGAAAAGTTTGAATTACAGAGATCAATTACCCTGTGGGAAACAGCAAGAAGGAAAGAGAACTCCATTGCATTTAAAGCTAGGTTTTACAATGTAGTAGAAAATTAGTGGGTGTTTTTTTTGCAGCTTCTAAGGCATTTTCCTGCTGCTAACAGACTGAAAGCAGAACCTTGAGAATCCCATTGCTTCTTTTTACAGAGTAATTTTTTTTATCTTCCTTGCACAGAGAACTATTTGAAAATGAGATGGTAAATACTGTTTAAATATATAAAGAAGGAAGCAGGAGAGAAGAATCTCAAAGTAACTGTTTCCCAAACATTTCAATTTTAAATATACAGTACACAGTATAGCTTTTCCAAAGAGCTAATTCTAAAATTAAAGCTGGAAGCAGACTGCATATGCTTTTAAAATGAATGTGTGTGTGTATGCAAATATAATAAAAATAATCACAAAGTATGTTATCTTTCACGTCAGCCTAATTCAATTCTAGTTCGGTCAGTCTAGTTAAGTCGTCAGGCACATCAGCTTGAGATAATGGGAGCTGTGGTTGAATATACATGGGAAATACCCAGTTGGGGTAGGCTGACATATGATGAAACAAAAGTGTAGCTTTTTAGTGAGTTTCCTTATAGGGAGCTTCTAGAATTATTTCCCAATGGATTCAGAGCAATGTTATTTCTTCTTATATGAGACTAAGAGGATACAGATGGTCATTATTACCAGCAACATACTGTGGTGTGTGAGTATGCCTTCAAAGGCATTTATGGAATGACATCACCCTGTATTCCAGATCAACATTGGCAAATGTATAGATAGGGATGTTTATGAAGCCAGCCTATTAGCAGAACTGTCTGCCACTATTGTTTCTGTAGGTGAAATGAGGGAGACCATCAATCCTATCCTTCAGTCAAGTAGCAAAATGTTTTTAGCCAGGCCTGCAGATTGATAACAACAGAGAATAAGACTAGCTTTTTCTTAAAATACACATTCATAGTTTATTTATTTATTTATTTATTGGACTTATATACCGCCCCATAGTGCTACAAGCACTCTCCGGGCGGTTTACAATTTTTAATTATACAGGCTACACATTGCCCCCCCAGCAAGCTGGGTACTCATTTTACCGACCTCGGAAGGATAGAAGGCTGAGTCAACCTTGAGCCGGCTACCTGGGATTTGAACTCCAGGTCGTGAGCACAGTTTTAGCTGCAGTACAGCGTTTTAACCACTGCGCTACGAGGCCCAACCCAGTTCTAGTTGTAAAGAAAACATAGAAGTATATGTACTCTAGCTACTGAATTTTCAAAACCCAGCAGCTTCCCATTGATCGGGAGCAGGGATTGGGACCCTCTTTTTTTGACAAAAATCTATAATTTACCAGTCAGCACAGCTACTGCCATGCTTGTTGGGAAATGCTAGTTATCGTAGTGTAAAAATGTTAACTTGCCTAGTCTCTGGTCAGGAGCTGACATTTAATTGTTCTGCATAGTGAGACATATTTTTATGTTTCTCTCCTCCATAGTTACGATTTCTCTTCCTTCATTTCTGTGCTCAAAGCCCTGTCTATCTCTTGTGCCTATTAACTTGCCTCTTCCACAGTTTCCTTCCCAAAGTACAGGTGGGTAGGTGGTATATATGGGTACCTCGTGTGGTGTGGTGGACAAAAAGATGGAATAGGACTCAGGAGCCCTGAATTTGAACCTCTACTCATCCATAGAAGTTCACTAGGGGCGTAGAACTGATAAAACTAGCCCTTAAATATCTCACTTACCTTGAAAGCCCTGTTAGAGTCACTATAAGTCAGTTCTGATTTGATGGCACATGACATAACTAGGTGGTACTGTATATGCTGCTCCCGAATGTCATCAGACATGTTACCTTTCTACTATTCCAATGTTTAATATAACTGTGCTAGTGCAGCAGACAAACCATGTGGACCTGGATCAACATTTCAAATTTTTTTAAAACTCCCTCTTTTGGAAAGAAGACATGTTTGGTAACATAACTATGTGAGGATAAATAATAATCATCATAACAGAACTGCAAGCTGGAAGGAACCCAATGGATCATCAAGTCCGGCTCCTATCAAGGAAGCACTGTGGGGAATCAAGCTCCCACCCTTTGGCTCTGCAAGCGAAGACCTGAGCCACTAAGCTATCCGGCAGTTTGTTAGCTAAAGAAAGATGCAGAATAAAGGATGAAGGAGAACTGGACTGTTTTAGTCTGGTGAAAGAAAAGGATCAAGAAGGGAGATGCCTTGATGGTTTTCAACAGGGCTGGCCCAAGAAATTTAGTGCCTTATATAGAAAATCCAAATGGAAATACTGTAAGCCCACTCCCACCCACTCTTGTTACTACTAAAGAATGTGAATACACAATACTCTAGGAATGTCTTTAATGCACACCAGGTGATCCAAATTATCCTATAATAGCTAAACCAAAGTATGTGTAATTCAAATAATTGCATACTTTTCCTTTACCTACCCTTTCCTTCTTTTCCCATTTTCTTCAGTTGTTTTACTGGGTTTCGTTTATTTTGAGTACTTTTATTCACATAATTTTGTGGGGAAAGGCTTTGTAAGTGGTATCATTTCCCATTTGTACCTCTCCTATATTTCACCTCTGCTTCCCCCCCCCCTTCTGCTTCTACCATGTTAGGAACATTTTGATGCATAGCCTTGTTCTTTAACCCTTTTGAGATAGGAGTCTGTCATTCCTGTTTTTGTCAAGCATCATGTGCAGTACATAGATGATGTTGAATTGTTATTCTCATGAAGCAGCAGCAGCAGCAGCAGCAGCAGTAGTGTGGAAGCGACAAGGTATATTCCTGTGTTCTTGTTCATACTTTTAATGGTGCTCCCCAGAGATTAACCTCCTGGCAGGTTGTGCTCTGAGAGCCAGATATGTCCCCTGCTGTGTCTTTATTTGTTGTGTCTGGGCTCCCTCTGGGGACCAAACTATACCAATGACTAGTTTGCTATTAGAAGGTGATATAATATGAACTCTCTCCAGATGATGATGATGATGTAATAATAATAATAATAATCATCTCCCAACCCCAGATCTCAGAAATCACACCATCAGAGCTACAAAAAAAATGGCAATATTAGGAGCGGCATACATACTGCGCCGATATTTAACAGATTCTTAGGTTTTTGGTTAAAACCTGTATCTGTTATATAATAATATCAGTAAATGTTTTTATAATTTTGATTGCCTGTGTCTTGTGGTTTTTTAAATAAGAATAAGAATAATTTCATCTTAGAACTCCAGAGTTGGAAGGGATCCTATGGATCATTTAGTTCAGCTCCTGTGAAAGAGGTACAGTGGGGAATTGAGCTCCCAACCTGCAGCCAGATACCTAAACCCCTGAGCTATCCAACAGTTTGCATTAGAACTTAGTACTGCAGAACTGCAAGAGAGCCTGCCCTTGTCAAAGAGGCACGGTGGGGAATTGAACTCTGGCTCCACAGCCAGATGCCTAAACTGCTGAGCTATCCAGTTTGTCCCTTTGGATAATCTAGGGACCCACGGTCCATCATATACATTGAAGAAAGGTTATGAAAAAATGTGGTTTGACAGGAAGATACATTTTAGTTAAAAGCTATTAAATCCTTCATTTTAAAAGCATTTTTTCCATGTTACATTTTCGTCATGCTACATCAATGTAACAAGGTGCTTCCAAATGGCTAGCTCCTGGTCCTACTTGTCAAATGCCTCTTCTTTCTTCTCTTCTCCATCCCCATATCCAATTCTTGGTGATACAAAGAAGTAGTAGGAAAAGCTAGGAAGTTTACAAGTGGAAGATGGCAACATATAGAACTTCCCCTTTGCATTTCATTAATTAAGCAGAAAAACTGTATAATAAAAGCCCTATCTGAAAACACCCATTTACTGATGGTTTGTCTACTTTTGTGGGTCCTTTCCTGATAGAATGTATTTTGTTTGAATTGGTTTCAGCTGGCCAGTATACCATAAAATCTATTTATTTATTTAAAATATTTTTTTGCTTTCTTTCTTCATAAAAAAGACCCAAGGCATAAAGCATTCTCTTGGTCTTATAGCTGTTTTTTATAAGATTCACACAGATCTGAATGCCTAAATTTTCTTGCTTTCTTTTTCTTTTTCGTCATATTGTAAAACTGAGAGCTGGGACTGTATTTTTTCATTGGTATTTACAATCGTACAGGGTAGATTTGCCCAGTATGGTATCCTCTCCAGTTCTGGGGCTATAACTTTCATTACAGGCCGCAAGAGATGATGGGATTTATGATCTAAAACTCTCCAACCATGTTGGAGAGAACTGCGAAGTACATGAATAAAACTTGGGAGCAGGGTGTACATTTTTTACTATTCCTGTGGCTTTGTTTTTCTGGGATATGAGGATTTTCTGTTCTATCTAGGTAAAACTTAATATTTTAACAGAGAAGTCAGTAGAAGAAATAGAGGAGCTGTTTTTGTGGCAGGAGCTACATATATTAGCAGATAAGCCAGAGTAGCCTTTTTCTTGTCCATTATTTGCAAACAGACAAAAACCCACAGAAAGCAGACATTTTGTTTTATGTGATTCCTCCTGCATTAAAGCAGGATGGGCGGAACAGCTGATGGTCTGCCAATGCTGGCTGCTGATGGTCAGGGCAGCAGTCACCTTCTTAACACCCAGTGAAAATGGAGCCATTGAACCTTACTCCCCCACCCACTGCTCCCAGCAAGGACGTTGTCACCTTCCAGCACTAGCTGGCCTGTGATGATGTTTTTTTCCAGGGCAGGGGGCTCCAGCACCTCCATTTTGTCACATCAAATGGGCAAGGAGTGCCCCCACTCTGGTGCTGTCAGCATCCAGGAAGCCTCCAAACACTGGCTATCCAGAACAGAAGCCATAAAATATATTTTTTAAAGTGTGTATTGGTACCATTTTAAAACCATAATAAGGCTTGAGCTGTGTGTAGCTACAATAGTCACAGAAAACTCCATTTCTTTTTCCCCCAGCATGTAGGAAAGGCTAACAATATGTGTGTGTTTGATGTATGCATTGTTGGATAATACTGTATATATATTCTTAATCTTTTCTTGCTGCTCCAGATTTTCAGCCTATGAAAAATATTAAAACACCCCTCCTCAATATACATTTCTGTCTGAAGATCGGAAATTATTCATATCACGATTCTGTTGCCTTCATAATTCTTGCTAGTTTGTTTGATATCAAGCCTCAATCTTAAAGAAAACAAAGACATGAATGGAAACACCGTCTCCCATCAATATAACTTTGATCTTAGCTCAAGACACACGGATGGACAGGAGGGGAAAGTCTGTGCTGAAAAACACAATTTCTTTTCACCTCCATCTTATTATGCATCAATAATTGCATATCTCTTTAGCCAGCCAGAAGCTCACCATGAGCTGGACCCAAGACTTTTTCTCCCTTTCTCACAGAAAACTGAACTGCCACTCCAAAATAGTGGGCATAGCCCATCCTCCTTTAGTAAACTGCCTGTCTGTGGTTTTGGTGATACCACTCAGTTTCACCATGAACACTTACAAGCCAAGAGATCCAGGGTAGAAAACATTATCCGAGGAATGAGCATCACACCAAACCCTCCAGTACCTGGTCCCTTAGCGAAAGGGGATCAGCACCACGCTGAGAAAGCAAAGGAAAGCTGTGGAGAAAACAAGAGAAAGCAGAAGCGTCCTCAGCAGCAAAATCTTCAAGGGGCTTCTTTGGCAAAAGCTGGCCGAAGCAGCATCCAGTCGGAAGAGTACCTCCAGCTGAAAAAACAGCTCCATGTTTTGCAATACCAGCTGAAGCAACTGCGAGAAATATTTTTTCAGGCTCATGAGCTCAGTGTTTCTGGTCCAAGCCAAGAAGATATGGAGCAAACAAGGGACACACCTATAGAGAGGTATGGGCAAAGTGTGGACAGGAGTCATCTAGGCCTCAAGGGGGCCCAGCATAAAGATAATCTATGGAGAAGCATCCCTAACATGAGAGGCCCCGGAGTGTCAGAGAAAGAAGCTGGAGTTATTAATTCAGAGATTCCAGCTTCAGGAGAGAGAAACTTTTCAGAGATATTAAAGCAAGAGCTAGTTGAAAGGGTGAAACAGGCTGTGGACTCTGTCTTGAAAAAGGTACTATCTGAATCACCAGGTCTCCAATCCCACCAGCCTAATGACAGCCCAGAGACAGCATGTGGTGTGGAAAACATGTCGAGTCAGTGGCTTCCAAAGATATCTTCCCCTAAAGGCTCCATATCTACCATCTCAGAAAAGACTTTAGGCTTTTCCACTTACTCCATCGTCTCAAAAATGGAGAAGAAGCTCTGCCAAATCCCACCTGTGAAGCATCCCTGGATCTTGACCTCCTCTGAAGTCCCAGGAGGCAGACCTCTTGGCCAAATGCTACAACGCAGTCCGAATGATCATGGAGGTTACCCCCCTCAAAGAACAGCACCTTCATCAGAATCTCAAGATGTGCCATGGCAGCCTGTCAAGCTGAAGTCATCTGTCATGAGACGGCAACCATGTCCAGTGGGCTATAAATCTGAAATAGAAAGTCTGGCATTTGTTGCAGCTTCAGATGCAGAGTTTGCTGAAATGCATGCTATGGCAGATGGGACGTACTTCCCCTCAATACATATATCCTTTATGGGCTCTCCTATATCCTCATCATCCACAGGCCTCAGGCAGAGTTTGAATAAGTTCCTTTTGGGGCTACAACTCCCAGAATTCTCCAGACAACTAGGTCAGAGTAGAGATTCTGGGAGGTGTAGTTTTTAAAAAAGAATAATGTTCCCATGCTACAGCCTCACCCTTGGATAGCTATTTTGTGTGCTGTCATCTCATGTAGAATGGATAGCAATGCTTCTGCTTTCCAGATGTCTGGGTCAGCCCACTCAACATGGGGTTGTTTTATCATATTTTAATGGAATTTTATTACCCTGACTGACTTTCCCAAACTATAATTAAATGTATCTATTTTTATATTGATTTGGTTTTACTGGTCTTTGACCATAATAAAGTATTCATTCATGGCCAATGATAGGTAATTATGGGAATTGTAGTCCAAATCATCTGGTGGGCTCAAGGTTTCCCGTGTTGTTTGGTTTCATTTGATTTGATTTATGTACCAGCCCATTAGTGCAATGCACTATTCTGGGTGGTTTACAAGAAGGTAAAAACACAATAACAGATATTAAATAAAACAAAGTTATCATACAGATCGAGCAGTTGAAATAGAAATGTCTTTATCTCTATTAATCAGAGATAAAAGCTTTGGCAGGCCTGAGGGCAAATTTTCTGCACTCAGGACCCAGAAGAACTGCATGAACCAAGATACTGGGGGGGGGGGGGAATCAAAACTGAAAGTAGTCAGAAATCCTCTTCTTTTTTGCCCAGATTTTGGCAGTGGCCAGAAGTGCATTCGCACAGTCAGACCTAGTGTGCACCTGCCATATCTCTTCCTGGAGAAATCTGATCTAGCCAAGGTGACACGTGCCCTGGTTACATCCTGTTCGGATTACTATAACACACCGTATATTGGGCTGCTTTTGGAAAGTGCTTCAGTGGGTCCAAAATGCTGCTGCCAGATTCTTAACTGGTTACAAGGATCAAATAATCCTTGTTCCTGAAGCATCAGTGACTGCCAATCTGTTTCCGGTCACAATCCAAACTGCTGGCTTTGACTTATGAAATCCTCAGTGACTTGGGGCCAAGGCACCTGAAAGTCCACATTGCCCTTTATGAGCCCGCCTGAGTTTTAAAATAATCAGGGGAGGCCTTTCTCTTGGTCCTGCCACTCTCACCAGTGCATTGGATGAGGAGGACCTTCCTTATCACTGGTCCTAAAGCTTTGGAACTCCCTCTTGAGGGAGGCCGGGCTGTCCCCCCCCACCCCTCTTTGACCTCCTTCTGCAAGGGGACAACAACCTTTCTGTTTTGGCAGGCTTTGCCTCAGTAACTGGCTGCCTAACAGGGATTTCCTAAAAACAGGGCTGCTGTTTATTTTTTTATTTTTTGTTTAATGATGTTTAAAAATATTTTAATGAGGGATTTCCTAAAAACAGGGCTGCTGTTTTATTTTTTTATTTTTTTTTGTTTAGTGATGTTTAAAAATATTTTAATGTTGTTCGTTTTAATACTGTAAGCCACCTTGGGTCCTCTGGAGGAGAACAGGGGATACAAATCATTTAAATAAATAAAAGGAAAAAAGGAAAAGGAGAAGCAGCCTAGGGCAAGTTGATTGAACAACGTCAGGCTCTATGCTAACTTGGCTCCAGGAACCTGAAACTGCAAACAAGCTTTTCCTTAATGGCGGATTACATTCAGGAAACTTTGACACCAGGCCATCTGAAAAAGGCCAAACTGATGTTCTTCTTCTCTCGTTACCCCACATCTTCTCTCCTGAAAGCCTACTTCCTAGATATCCAGGTAAAACTATTTACCTTCCTGTATTCCAAGCTTAATTATAAAGGCTTCTTTGTATATATTAATATTTCTCCCATGGTAGGGCTGAGCAGCCTTCACCTAGACGATCACATTTAAAATGCCATTACTTTTAATAGGTTTGCTTTCGGCCCAAAACATATGAGCCCAAGCAGTTTAGGACTGAAACATACAATATGTTCTTTATTTTAACATAGCAACTGGTGAACATAAACAGAGTTTGACAAGTTTACACTGAGTTACATGCTTGCTGTCAAACATCCAGCTTCCTTCTCCCAGATGCAAAGTAATTCTCTCAAGTTCCATTCCACTCTTATAAATACAACCTCCCTTCTCAAGATACAATTTAACTCTCTCTTCTGGATTGGCTCACCTTCTGCATTCTTCCAGCCAATCACCTTATTGCTGCTGTTGCTTGGTACAATGGATGAGGTTTCCATCGCAGCAGGTTATGTACTATTGCGATAAACTGGAAGATGAGAAATTATGCTGGAATACAAGATTATTAATTGGTATTTATGCAATTCAGTGTTTATATAAAAACTGTACTTTTAAAGTACATCATCCACACCTATCATGTTACTCCCCACCACAGTCTATTATTTGCATCAATTGAGTTTAATGAGATTTTTGTGATCAGCCTTGGATCCATTTTTGGACTCTCTGGATATATATAATGAAGTAACAAATAATAGAAATAATAAAATGGACTAGCAAATATCATAAAGGATACCAGAGCCTCGAGACTGCAAAAGCTGTGCAGGGGCTTAACAATAGGACATTTTGTAGGTTGTGAATTCATAGGGTCAGCATAATGCAGAAGCAAATCATTCTGGGCTGTGAGTACTAGGTGTGAATCAGTCCAACACATGCATGGAAAGTGTGTTATTGGATGTGAGAAAAATCTCAAATACATGTTAGGGCACTGTCCTGATTAGAAGAGACTAGAAACCACAAATTAGCATGCAAGCTGTCATACTCTCCAGATCCCTTAATTGGGCTGCAGAAGACAAGCAAAACAGCTTGGAAAGTTAAAAGAGGAAGCGGGGGAGGGGAATTGGCCAAGGTTACATTTGTCATGGAACAAATATTGAAAAGAGACTGCAGACTTTCGCAGTTTATGAAGGCTGCTGTACAAGCATTAAATCAGGTTAGTGATGAGAAACTACTAGCCCATAGGCCTAATCTGGCTCTCTAGAGTCCCCAGTCCTGGAGAGCATTCCTGCATTACTTTCTCTGCAGCCTTTCTTCTCTCCAAGGCTCTCTCTACTCCAGAAGAAGATGTCGGGGTCAAGAGTTATTGGGTCCTGATGTCCAGGCCATGGTTCCTTCACTCTACCCTTCCTTTCCTCCCTTCCCTCGGCATGGAAGGTAAGGAGAGAGTGAAGCTGAGCGCAGTGGAATTTAACCCATAACGCCATATCATGCTGTCTGTCTGGATAGCTCAGTGAGTGAGATGAGGTTGGGAATCCAATTCCCCACTGTGCCTCTGGAGGGGAGAGCCAGCCTGTGTGGCCTTGGGCAAGCTGCACAATCCCAGAGCACCCAGAAGACGAGAATGGCAAACCATTGCTGAATATTTGATACCTAGAAAACCCTGGAAAGGGACACCGTAAGTCGAGTTTGACTTGATGGCACAGATTAAAAATTAAAATGCCATATTGCATGTTCTTTCTACAGTTCACACGCTGCATCACTTCCCAGCTCATCAAATGGTTCAGCAACTTCCGTGAATTTTATTACATCCAGATGGAAAAATTTGCTAGGCAAGCTGTGTCAGAGGGGGTCATGGATTCCAGCGGTCTGATTGTGACCAGGGACTCTGAGCTCTACCGAATCCTTAATATGCATTACAACAAAGGGAATGATTTTGAGGTAAGCCTACATACTTGGCAAATATTCCTTATATAAAGGGACATACTGTACCTTATTGTAAGGAAATGGACTTGACTCCAGAAGTGGACCGATCTCTGTGTGATACAAGCCTACCTATTTCAGGAGAAGACTAGAAATCAAGACAAGATCATAGAAAGAAAACACACCATATTCTATTCAGTTTAGGGCACCATAGTTTTCCCTGTAGTGTCATAATCTGAGGGAACTGCTCTGCAACAGCATCTTAAACGTGTGTGTGTTAGTGTGTATATTGTTCTTCAGCGTTTTTAGCTTTGCTGTTTTAATAATTTATTGTTACTGTATTTCTTTGGTTTAATATCATGTTTGGGATTTTTTTAGTTTGACATTTTAGAATTCCTGTTGATTGCCTTCCATTTTTGCCCAGTAGATGTTTCTGCCAGTAGATGTTTCTTGTAAATTTATTAAATGCTAATAAATTTGGTAGGTCTAAATCCAATTGCTGTTTCTGGCCAGAATAAACACATAGAACCAACTGCCTGCTGAATGGCACGTCAACGCTTATAGAAATTCCATTAATTCAATGGGTATACTCTAGTCAGAACTACCAGTTGGATTCAGGCCTTAGTCATTTTTGCACTGGAAGCCTTAATGTTATTTCTGCTAACTCTTTGTTAGTAACACACTATTATGGAACACACATACTGTGTGAGGATGTTTGTCATTCAGAATTCATTGGACTGACAATGCTGGCTAGAGGTGTGGGAGTTACAGTTCAACCACACCTGGAAGCAACATCTTCTCCTCTATTGATTTAAATAGCCCAAGCTGCTACCATATCTCCATCACTAAGAAGGGAGAGAAAGCCCCACAAAACACTATGGTGGTAAAGGCTTGGTAATTTAATGGCATTGTTTATGGAAAAGGATCAGTTGAACTTTTATGATGCCATCAGATCCTGCTTCTGGCTCATAATTTGTTATATGCTGAAAGGAATGTAAGTCAACAACAACTGCCAGCTAATCAACACTTCCCCTATGCGGTGACTCCTTAGGACCCCATATTTTTCTCAGTGAGGAAGAACAGGCAACTGCTTCTCCAAAGCAGGAACCTAACCAGGCATGGTATGCAGCTGGTGCCCAGGACTGTTTTTTCCTGCTCTCTTCCTCATCACCCTCTTTTGCATCCCTCTCTCTTACTATGGCCAATTGGCGTAAGTTTTTCTTGCCTGTTCTAGGGTAATGTCTCTTCTGTTGTCTCTGCTCCACTATTTTTTAAAAGTATCTAATTAGTTTTAAATTAAGTTTGTCCAATCCAATGCAATGCTAAATAAGTGTTGTGGTTGTTTAGTGTTCTCAATTCAGTGCTGTGTTATGTCAGGGAAAAAGAAAGGAAAAAATAGTAGTAGACTGCAGGGACTTGACTCTTTTAATGTTGAGAAGTGGAGCAATTTGAAGTGTGGTGTGGTTTCTTGTCCCGAAGCTATTTGGGAAAAGTGCAAGTTTGTATGTGAATGAAAGGATCTATTCAAGTGAGCCGTGTCCAGTCCCATCAAACCCGGGATAACTTCCCTGTCCAACTGCACTATTAATTTCTGTGCCTTGGGTACAACCAGTGTGTAAAACAGTTGGATCTTTGTATTGCAACATAATATGGTAAGTATTGTCAGTGATATGTCTGAAAATAACAGGTATAGAAGCCTACTCAAGACTGTTTGCGTATGGACGGTGGCCATTTGAGAGAGTGAGAAGGGAAGTCCATTGGAGTGGGAGAAAAATAGAAAAGATTTTTGAAGAAGTAGAAATAATGGATGGGATTTGTCTGAGGAGAGAGAATACTTGAGGGGAGATCGTGTCTATGTGGTTAAGACTGATTGGTAGTATTACAGTAATAATAAAATGTAACTGTAACCCTAGGTGTCAGTAGCAACTCAAGTACTGTACTGTAGGCCTATCAAATCAATGGAACTTACAAAGGAGTGGATTTACCAAATCCCCACTGATTCAATGTGTCTACTCTCAATGCAGCTTACTAGTGGGTTTCAATCATTGATATGTAAGGTGACAAGAAATGAATAAAATATAATCTCCCAAATTATATTGAATAATATTATATATCTTCTTAATTATGCCCATGCCTACTTCCCAATCACCCTTACCAAGAGAATTAGAAAATGTGACTCTAAAAGTCAGTAATGTAGGCACCTTCTAGTGAGGGGTGGATCCTGGTGGCAGTGCCCTAATGAAAAGAATTTTAAAAGATGTCTATCTTTGCCTTTGAGTGGGACACATGATGATCCAAGGTGGGATCACCACAGGTAGTGACCAACAGTAAGAGTACATGTTGGGTTTGCCGTAATTTATAAGGAAAGCAACTGGTTTCAGCAATGGAGCAAATACAATTCCCTGCTTCTTCAAAATAAAGATTTTGGGTGATTAACAATTTTCTCTGGAGCAGAAGTAGACTATGTCATGTTTAGTACAATGATTTTTGTCAAAAGAAGATCAGTCCTCCCCCCATGCGAAATTGGTTAATGGTACAGTATGTATCACATCGCTAAACTTCTTATTCTCTCTCTGTAGGTTCCTGGTGGTTTCCTGGATGTTGCTAGTCTGACTCTTCAAGAGTTCTTTAATGCTCTCAGGGCAGGAAAGGACTCAGACCCCTCCTGGAAAAAACCAATTTACAAAATAATTTCCAAGCTGGACAGTGAGATCCCAAATCTGTTCAAATCCTCCAGTTGCCCCAAGGAACTGATCCAAAATTAATGCATGATTATCATGATGACTGACATGTGACGATGAGATTATAGTCTTAATTTCCCTTTCCTTGATATAAAACTGGTCAGTCAAGATTCAGCCTCCACTGTGCACCTTGTTTCTTGACCACATACTGCTTCAGCAATTCAGATCTGAATTCACAAAGAGCACCCTCAGTATTTCTAGGACTTTATGAACATTGAGACTCCCTTTTAAGAAACAGACTTGGCACAGACAGTTTTGGGGCTTTTATATGTTTTTCCCCCTAGGCTTTCCATATTATCTTGGTGCACAGCGTGATGACAATTAGTAGAAGTTGAAAGTAGCAATTTTAAAGGTAGCACGCTGGCTGCATAGCTCAGTGAACTAGATATGTGGCTGAGGAGCCATAGGTTGGGAGTTTGATTCCCTACTGTGCCTCTTCCGAGTACAGCCAGCCGGTTTGGCCTTGGGCAAGCTGCACAGTCTCGGGATGCCCCTTGAAAAAAAGAATGGTAAACTGCTTCTGAGTTCTTTCTGCCTAGAAAACCCTGAAGAGAGTCTCCATAATTGGGAACTGACTTGGCGGCACATTGATTATTGTTGTAATAACAGCAGCTCCTCATGCTATGAAAGGTTGTATTCTAGGGCAGGGGTTAGGGTCCTTCTATGTGCTGTGTGCTATATGCCTACATGGACACTACCTTTCCACTGTTATGTAATCCAGATTACTCCCAGTTTATCTATTATCCATAGTAGAGCCATGCCTATATTACGACAACCAAAAAAAAAAAAAGGCCACAAAATATATGCAAGCTTTTATTCCCTTCATCAGACAAGTTGTTCCAAACATGGAGAGGGTGGGTGCAGAGACTTGCCCTTAAAAGTCAGGTGGTGTTCATGCCATCTTGTGTTGTAATGGGAGAAAAGGGCTCTGGAAATGTTCAGGTGGGGTTTATCAGGTGGTTACCTAGTGTTAGGTTTCATCCAGAGTGGTCCAAAGACATGCAGGCAGCAGGAAATAACAGAAAAATTTGGCTTACTATCTCACAAAATACATATCTCAACAGAAAACTCACTGCCATCCCCATCTTGTACAAGCTCACTGACATCTTGATAGAAAATAGCAACCACTCTGTCTTTATATTATGAAAAAAAGGCAAAAGTCAACAGTCAACATTCTTTTTATTACAACTAAATTGTAAACCTATCAGGTCCACCTTAGATAACCCCATTGTTCTTGAACAGCAGCTCCCAGAAATCTCAGGCAGTGCATCTGGTGGCGAAGGCTTCTGGGAATTGTAGTTCAAGGACACCTCAGTTACCCAGTATTGGGAACCACTGGTGTACACTGAAAAACTAAGTTTTCAGCAAGTTGTTGTTTAATGTTTTCATTCTCCTATATTATGTTTCAAAACCAAAATTGTGTACGTATCTGCAACTTAACTGTTGCAGATCCTTTCGGCTTCACAGGTATGGTGGATTCAAAATGTGCAACCTTGATTTCTGAAGGAAATCCTGTGATTCTTAAATGATCTGTGTTCTGAGTTTGTATACACCAAGCTGAAAACCTTAAATGGCTTTGTAACGCTCTTACTCTCTTACTTGAAGGCAGCTTGTTCTTAAAAGCTTGCTTCTGTATTTGTAACCAAATACATTACTGTATGTGTGTTGCTATGTTGGAAAATTTTTGAGCACCCTTTATTTTTCTAGAAATAAGTTCATCGTTTTCTTATTTTTTGAAATAAGTGCATTAAGCACATTAAGATCTATCCTTGAAACACCTAATTCTACCCCTTACAGAACAAGGATTCTGCTGATTTTACGATGTTACGATTAGCTGATTTTCCTCAGTTCAACAATAACTTTCATAAACAACAGTTGGATCTAGAATCAGCCTCCTACAGATGGAAGGGCACCCTGTATCTGTAGGTTTCTGTTCTAGCAGAGGAATTCTGATGGCAAAATGGATGTGATCGCTGTTGATTCACCCCTTCCCTCCTAATCCCCATGCTCTCTGGAGTTCTGGAAGGTCTTCTGGAGCTGAGTAGGTGACACTGACAACAGCAAATGCAAAAAGTGCCTCCCCCGCACTTTCTCCTAATGGGTCTGTCCTGAAAATTCTGCTCAGGGAATGCTCCCCCAATGGAAAAACAGTTGTGTTCTGTTTCTCATATAAGAAGAATTTACTGAGTGAAAGTGAGAGACAGTGTGGACTGAAGTTTGACAAAAGGGGGTATGAAGAATGCATTACTTCCATGATCGTTGCCTCATAGTTGAGCAGTCCACATTTCAGTCCTAGGCTGCAATGTTAGCAAAGCAACTGGTAAATTTTATCCTGAGCCAACTTGTGTCTAGTCCCCTCCCACCACCTCTTCCAGCTACATGTAATCCCTTAAATGTTCTTCATATAAACTATCTCTAGCAGGAGACCTCTTTTTGGAATCTGTTTATCTTCATCCTGCATGACCTAGTCAAATGGAAGAGAAGTGTTCAATGAAGCTATATTTTGTGTGCCACCAGTGGATTAGCTATATCTGAAAGAATTTACAGATATATACCTTGAACAAAACAAAAGGCAGAGTTTTCTGCCATCTCTGAAATGCTAGCCGTTTCTCATTCCTCCTTTTGGGAAAACATTTTGGGCCAGAATGGTTATTGTATTCCATCTCCATATGCAAAATGTTAGGATCTTCCACATTTCTCTGAGTGGTAAGAACATCCAGGGACAAGCCTTACACAAGGTTGGTTTCTGTAGAAATAGAACACATGGGAAGACGTCTGGTCCCTATTATTTTTTGTAATATTTCTGTTTATTTACAAATATGTAAGTTCTTATAGGCTTGGTGGAGGTGACCAGCATAAAATTCCAACAAAAATCAAATATCTTGACTTATATGAACCTTTCAGAAACAGACATCATGCATCCTGAAGACACAAATGTTATGGTCAGCTAGTCTTCAGAGTTGAAATAACCTATTTTGAAAGTTTTGGGGATTTATAGCCCAGCAAATCTTTAGTCTGAGAATTCAGAGGTAACCCATATATAAGACATGAAGAGCTATTGCCACACCCACACACCAAAAAAAGGTCTGGTTTGTAGTCCAGGATGTCAAGGATACTCCTGCTGTGACACTGACAGATAATCAGCCCTTAAGGATTTGCTTCTCATAATGGTGTATCTCTACGGTCTATTTGTCCTGTGAGATGCCCCCCTAGTGTACCCACTCTTCCTGCTCCCTTCCTTTACTATATCATTATGGAACTTTCTAGTACTATTCTTGCCGCGCACAGATCTAGCTTGCTTCACACTGGATAGGGGGATATGGGAAAGTTTGGCAACTCGAGATTTCTCCACTGTTCTGCTAAGAAACCATGATGAGCAGCATCACTCCTTTATACGTAAACGGAAAGGCGGGCGACAATAATATTACACGTAGCTTTCCCATCTTTCCTGATTTTTACCACTGCCACCCTCTAATTTACCTAAAGGCCAAAAAAAAAATCCCACCTCTGGCACATCAACAGTGAAAGTGGACCTCAGTGAACTAGGTATCAAGTTAAGGCAAAGGATAATTTTTAACTTTTTTAGGAGACGTTAGGTGAAATATGCTGAAAGTCCGTTTAGAAGAAGGGGCTGTTCTTCAGTGCCATTTGGGCCAGCAATCTAAATTTTAATCTGAGGCCACATTGTCCTTGACCCTCGAAACTGGGATTCTCTTTAAAAAAAAAAAACCCAAACAGAAATAGCCGAGGGGCGGCGTGGGGCACGTGCTGGAGGTTTTTAAAACAGCCATTCCGTGACTTGTCGAAGCTGAACCTCGAAGCCCTGGTCTTCGTTTCCAAAGTCCACGGAAAGTTTCTATGGCGGGAAACCGCGGACCAGGCCTTGTCGCCGCTCCGCCCCACCCCGCCACGCGAAGGGAGGGAAGGCCGAGCACCGGGACGCTGCTTCGCCGCAGATCAGCCCCTT